TTCTATTATAGAAGTGTCTTCCATGTTTTACTAATACATTTTCAGGGTAAGATTAGACAATAAAAGTCTATTCAAAAGAAACTGCTATGCTGAAGGGGAGGGTCTGGAGTGGAGGGGGTTAATGGGAAAAAAAGGGGTGGGGACACTTGTAATACTTTCAACAATAAAGATAAATTTATAAAAAGAAACAAGACACTGCTATCTATGCCAGAAAGATGGAGTTAATAATAGGAGCTCCAAGCAAAGAATGTGACCTGGTTTCCTTTGTGAAGTTAGTTATCGATTTCAACAGAATTGTTCCATAGGAATTCCACAGTGCATGCGCCTGATGGGAATGTTTATTTTGTACATATACTGATTATTACTGCACTCTCTTCTAGGCTGTGGAATAAATGTGGGCTTTGGAGGTTTCACAGCTCCTGGTAAGCTGTGAGTCTGCCCCATTCTTTCCATTTGCGTTGTGGCATAATACAGGAGCTAGTCTTCCAAAGGCAAATGCTTACTTCACTGTTCAGTAACACAAACACTCTGTAATCACTTGAGATTTTGGTCATAACAACTTATAAAGGTTGAGAAAGTACTTTGGTTCTTTGAAATCTTATTAGATAATAGCTCATTATCAATTTTAAAAGTGACTATAAGAAGAATATTTTCATTTATCTAACGTGAACAAAAGACAGAAAATCCATTTATGCTTTGAGTGGTTAGTATAATATCAGTTGAGAAAAACTCATTTAATTCTGTCACTTCTGGTTTCATAGCACTCGTTAATTATAAAAATTACTTCTACCTCCTAAGGAATCTCAGCAACATAATTAATTTGTATAATTATTGATTTTGAGTACCATTTAATCTTTTTTAGTTTTGTTATTCATGATAAATACTAGAGGCCCAGTGCACGAAATTTGTGCACTTGCGGGGGTGGGGGGGTTGTCCCTTAGCCCAGCCTGTGCCCTCTTGCAGTCTGGGAGCCCTTAGGGGATGTCTGACAGATGGCTCCTTAGTGCTGCCATGGATGTGGGAGAGGCTCCTGCCACCGCTGCTGCGCTCATCAGCCATGAGCCTGGCTTCTGGCTGAGCAGTGCTCCTCCTGTGGGAGCACACTGACCACCAGGGGACAGCTCCTGCATTGAGCGTCTGCCCCCTGGTGGTCAGTATGCATCATGGTGACTGGTCGTTCCGCCCTTCAATCGATTTGCATGTTAGCCTTTTATTTTATAGGAGTTTTAAAAATAATTTTAAAAATAATCATTAATGGCCCTAGCTGGGTCGTTTGGTTGGTTGGATCGTTGTCCCTTCTTGGTTGGATCATCGTCCCTTAAACAAAAAGGTTGAAGGTTTAATTCCCAGTCAGGAACATATCTAGGTTGAGGTTCCATTCCTGGTGGTGGCCGTATGGGAGACAACCAATCGATGTGTTGTTGTCAAATTGGCATTTCTCTCTCTCTCTCTCTCTATCTCTCTCTTCCCACCTCCCCACATATCCTCTGGTGAGGATTAAAAAAATAACAATCATTTATGAAAATACATTATTAATTGAAGGGATCAATAAGTGCTATTGAACTTTCTTTTCATTTTCATAAGTCATATATCCAAAAACAATAATCACTTAGTTTCATGGATGCTGGAGTTTGCAGAGCACAAGAAAAAAATAAAAATTGTAATATTTTTTGTAACCCCAGCTACAGATTGTGACACATAAAGCAAAAGACTATACATGGTCAGTGGTCTTAGCTGTGATTATATCTAGGAAATTGATGGTTTCAGGTGTACAGCATAGTGATTAGATATGTATATAATTTATGAAGTGATTCCCCCCAATAAGTCTAGTACCCACCCGGTACCAAACACAGTTATTACAATATTATTGACTGTATTGCCTATGCTATACTTTACATCCACATGACTATTTCATAACTACCAATTTGTACTTCTTAATCCCTTCACCTTTTTCACCCACCTCCCCCAACCCCCACATACCTGGCAACTATCAGTTTGTTCTCTGTATCTATGAGTTTGTTTCTGTTTTGTTCATTTATTTCATTTATTTTTTTAGATTTCACAAATAAGTGAAATCATATGGTATTTGTTCTTATCTGCCTTAACTTCACTTAGCATAATACTCTCTAGGTCCATCCATGTTGTCATAAATGGTAAGATTTCATTCTTTTTTTCTGTCTGAGTAATATTCCATTAAATATGTGTACCGCATCTTCTCTCTCTCTTTTAAAAACAAAAAACAAAAAACTTTGTATTGATTATTAGAGAGCGAGGAAAGGAAGAGGGATAGAGAGATCGAAACATCAATGAGAGAGAAACATTGATCAGCTAGCTCCTGTACCTCCCCTACTGGGGATTGAGCCCACAACTCAGGCATGTATCCTGATTGGAATCAAACTAGTGACCTCTTGGTTCATGGGTTGATTCTCAACCACTGAGCCATATTGTCTGGGCATGTACTACATCTTTTCCAGTTGTCCATTGATGACTTGTGCTGCTTACATATTTTGGCTATTGTAAATAATGCTGCAGTGAACATAGGGATGCATATATATTTTTGAATTGGTGTTTTGGATTTCTTCAGATAAATATCCAGAAGTGAAACAGCTGGGTCATAAGTTTGTCCTATTTTTAATCTTTTTAGGAGCCTCCATACTGTTTTCCGAAATAGCCGTACGAATGACAATCCCACAAACAGTGCACGAGGATTCCCTTTTCTCCACATCCTAGCCAACACTTGTTATTTGTTGAATTATTGATAATAGTCATTCTGACAGGTGTGAGGTGATATTTCATCCTGATTTTAATTTGCATTTCTCTGATGATTAGTGACATCGAGCAGGTTTTCATATTTCTGTTTATCATCTGTATGTCCTTTTTGGAGAAATGTCTATTGAGGTCCTCTGTCCATTTTTTAAATTGGATTATTGTTGTTTTTGGTTTTGAGTTTTTTGAATTCTTTATAATTTTGGATATTAACTCGTTAGCAGATGTATCATGGGTGAATATGTTCTCCTATTCAGTGGGTTGTCTTTTCATTTTGTTGATGGTTTCCTTTGCTGTGCAAAAACTTTCTATTTGACGTAGTCCCATTTGTTTATTTTTTTCTTTTTTTTCCTTTGCCCAAGGAAATATATCAGAAAAAAATATTACTAAGAGAAATGTCAGAGATTTTACTGCCTGTGTTTTCTTGTAGAATTTTTATGGTATTGAGTCTTACATTCAAGTCTTTAATCCATTTTGAGTTTATTCTTGTATATGGTTGTAAGAAGGTGGTTTCTAGTTTAATTTTTTCACATGTATCTGTCCACTTTTCCCAACATCATTTATTGAATAGACTGTCTTGATTCCATTGTATGTTATTGCCGCCTTTATAAAATATTAATTGATTAAATAAATATGTCTGGCCTTTTATTCTGTTCCATTGGTCTGTCTTTTATGCCCGAATCATGCTGTTTAGATTATATGTAGCCTTGTAGTGTAGTTTGATATCAGATAGTGTGATTTCTCCAACTTTGTTCATTTTCCTCAAGATTGATGTGGCTATCCAGGATCTTTTGTGGTTCCATATACAATTTTGGATTATTTGTTCTCGTTCTGTGAATATGTCATTGGTATTTTGATAGGAATTGCATTGAATCTGTTAATTGCTTGGGTAAGTATGGTCATTTTAACAATGTTAATTCTTCCAGTGCATGAGCACAGTAAATGCTTCCACTTATTTGTATATTCTTCAGTTTCTTTCTTCAGTGTCTTATAATTTTCTGAGTACAGATATTTCACTTAAAAAAAAAAGGTGCAAGACTTGGCTTTCATGTGTCAGAAAGTTAAAACAGAACTAGTTCTTAACTTGACAAGATTTGATCACCTTGTCCGCCAAACCTTCACCGCACCTACATGCTTATCCAGAAGTAGAACCAGTTGTCCTGTTTTGCAGTTTTCCTGTATACAAATGGGCATACATGTTATAGATGAATTTCTTTCTTGCCAGTAAAAAAAACCACGGAACCTCTCCTGATGGGAGGAAAATGTTACACCCAAGGTACTTTTGTAAAAGGCCACTTTTATTATTGTAACCTATCTTTTCTCCTTTCAAATTATTCTTCAAATCACTCTTCCTTGAAATTTATAGGAAACCCCCACCAACCTAGCTGTTCCAAGCCCTGCCTGGTCATTCTTGGTCTTAAAAATGTCAACCAAGTTAATTTTTAACATGGATAGGTAATTTTGTTTGTTTTCTTTTATACAGATGTGTAATTTTGTTTTGTCTTACTATCATTCATTCTCAGTTCCATTTATTTTTTTCTATTTCTCCTTTCTTAGTACATAATTTTCTTAATCCAATCTGAGAAATTTTTTTCTCACTCTCTGACACATGATGTTTTTTCCCTCCTTGATATATTTTTTATTGATTTCAGAGAGAGGTAGAAACATCAATGATGAAAGAGAATCATTGATCAGCTGCCTCCTGCACATCCCACACTGGGGATAGAACCTGTATGCCGGGCATGTGCCCTGACTGGGAATCGAACCGTGAACTCCTGGTTCATACGTAGACGCTCAACCACTGAGCCATGCTGGCCGGGCAACATGATCTATTTTTTAGGATCTTGTTCAGGAAGGCTGTGCCAGCCTTGTATTATAGCTGAAGTGACTTTGGCATTTTTAACAGAAAGAATGATGAAACATACAGGTTTCCAATTTAATGCCTGGAGGTCCTGGATATCCATAGTTAGGTTGCTATAACGAATGAATTATTTAAAAAAAAAATACACACCTTAAAAGGCACAAATCAACATTTTCTTAAAGCAGTAAATGATATTTTAAATAATTGTTAAGTAATCTGTTATTCAAATTTTTCTTAAGTTTGTGAGAAAATAACTACCTCAGTATATGGTTGCTAATTTACTGGATTATGCACTTGAGTATCTGTTCTTAAATAATCTAGGACATTTTCAATATGGCTGATCTTTTCTCTCCATTTTGTTTGTTTTCTTTAGTTTCATGCTATGGATACATTATATAGACACAGCTATGACTTGAGCAGTGCAATAAGTGTCTTAGTGCCACTTGGAGGACCTGTTTTATGCAGAGATGAAATGGAAGAATGGTCAGCCTCTGAAGCTACTTTATTTGAAGAGGCACTGGAAAAATATGGCAAAGACTTCAATGATATACGTCAAGACTTTGTAAGTAGAAAATTGTGAATGATATAAAACGTTGAGGTTGGGGATATTTTATTTGTTTTAGAAATCTGTGACTTAGTAATTTTAAAAACACTCCAAACTACAAGAAATGTAGTTTGAATACATAGAATGAAGGCCAGTATTATAAAGGGAGAAATTGACATTTATTCTCGGAATTAATTGTGAATAAGACCCAGGGCCAGGAGGCCTTGAGTTCTTGCTGTAAGTCTTGGCAGTATGAGTTCATCCTCTTCGCCTTTCTGAGGTCTAAGTTTAAAATATGGACAGATTGTCTAACCATTTGCACTAAAGATATCTAATATATCTAATTCCTGCCTCTTAAGCTCGTTGCCCTCCTTTAGACCTTCAGCATTTTTCTAGTTGTCTAATTGTTGAGCCTAAAATTTTGATGTGGACCTTTAATGTGGAAATAACCTGTAAAGCAGTGTAGGAGAATTTGCTTTATAGGCTTTCTATCTTTGACTCCTCTTAATGATATGCAGTATCTAATTTGCCTTTTAAATATTAGATAGTCTTTCCTCCTATTATGTATTTCCTTTTGTCTTTGTGGAATTGCTCTAATTAAGTTTATACTCGCTTTGAAATGGAGAAATTTCCATTTGAGAAGTCTATAAATAGATTTCTATAGCAGCCGTTCTTTATAAAAAATTATGAGACTAGAATATTTATAGACTAATGAAGTATTTGATGCAAGTTAATATCCTGCCTTTTATGTTGTTGAATTTTTGTTTGAGTTATTCCTGAAGAAAAATTATTACTATCAATATGGATACATTAAATTCCAAACATGATAATTAATTAATTAGTGTCACTAACATTTGTTCTTCTGGCAAAACTTCACTCATACCCAGATTGTTATATGTCATGATTTCAATTTATAGGAGGTGCAGGTGAGGATTTAAAATGCATTGGTGGCATTTAGCTTCAGGTGGTCAGAATAATGCACCAGTGTGATGTTATTACTATGGTATATTAATGTACCATACCACTAAATAGAAACCACAAAAACAAAGTCCCCTAAAGTACAAAATCCACAGGTCTGACAAAGGAATGGAAGGAGGAACATTAAAGTGAAACTATTTTCCCTGCACTGAGTGTGACATGCTCATTTTATGTTCTAGTAATTCTTCTGGACCCATTTCAATTCAGCAAATGTCTGTTGAGCATCTGCAACCTGCCAGGCCTTCAGGAAGCCAGTAGGCATGCAACAGAACCATAACGTTACTTCAGGGAATGAGTTCACAGTCAACATCAAGTGATTGAAGCACATACACCAATTAATATAAAATGTAGTTATTTCTGTCAGCAGTATCAACAAGTATTATGGGGTATTGGGAGGGGAACTCGCAGTTGTGCCAGTCAAATCAGAAATGGCTTCACAGAGTTATCTGGCATTTCAGCTGGATCTCTTACGGTAAAGGGAGAAAACAGCAAATTGAAAGGTATCCATGAGGTATGAAACTTGCACTCCCAGGCACCTAACACAGGACTAGGAAGTAACTCTCTGAAGAATAGCTTGCTGCAATATACTCAGACACAGAGGCTGACATTGATATGAGATAAAAGAACTGTATGAAAATGAGTGTGACAGTAATAATGCTGTTAGATGGTTTTTGTTACCTTTAAGATCTAACAGAATTCTTGTAAATTTGCATTGTGGTATATATTAGTTTTTGCTGAGGGTAGTTAGATTGCTTGTTGATTCGCCAGTCACATTAGGTTTGTATTATTTTGGAGACTGAAATTTTCCACCAGTGTCAAAAACGTTAAAGAATATATGATACCATAGTAATACCAAAGACATCTGGTCCTGGGATTTTCTTTGATCAGACGTTTTTGATCCCTGATTAGATCTCCTTCTTAGTTATAATCTATTCCAATTTTCTATTTCTTCATGATTCAGACTGGGTAGGTTTTATGTTTCTAGGAATTTATCCATTTTTTCAAGGTTATCTAATTAGTTGGCATATATTTGTCATAATAGTCTCTTAACATAAGCCTTTGTATTTGGGACTTCTTTTTTTTTTCTTAGTCTAGCTAAAAGTTTTGTCAGTTTTGTTTTATCTTTTCTAAAAAATAGCCCCTAGTTACATTGATCTTTTCTATTTTTATAGTTTTCACTTCATTTACTTCTGCTCTGATCTTTATTTCCTTTCTCCTGCTAATTGGATCCACTCTCTTTCTGTCCCCACCCCCCTTGGATAATTCCTAATGACCTGTTTTTTAGTTTTCACATATTCTTTTTTTCTGCTTAATCAAGTCTGTTGGTGATGTTCTATATCAGTGATGGCGAACCTTTTGAGTTCGGCATGTCAGCATTTTGAAAAACCCTAACTTAACTCTGGTGCTGTGTCACATATAGAATGTTTTTGATATTTGCAGCCATAGTAAAACAAAGATTTATATTTTTGATACTTATTTTATATATTTAAATGCCATTTAACAAAGAAAAATAAAAAACAATGAGTTCTCTTGTCACCTCTGACACGCGTGTCATAGGTTCGCCATCACTGTTCTATATTGTATTTTTTATTTAATTAATTGTATTTTTCAGCTTTAGAATTTGTTAGGTTCCTTTTCATTATTCTGTCTTTGTTGAACTCATTTTGTTTGTATATTGTTTTACTGATTTTATTGCATTGTCTGTCTGTACTTTTTTTTTTTTTAATATATTTTTATTGATTTTTTACAGAGAGGAAGGGAGAGAGATAGAGAGTTAGAAACATCGATGAGAGAGAAACATCGATCAGCTGCCTCCTGCACACTCCCCACTGGGGATGTGCCTGCGAACCAAGGACCTGCCCTTAACCGGAATCGAACCTGGGACCCTTCAGTCCGCAGGCCGACGCTCTATCCAGTGAGCCAAACCGGTTTCGGCTGTCTGTACTTTCTTGTAACTTAATTGAACTTCCTTAAAACAGTATTTTTTAAATTCTCTTTCAGGCAAGTAGTAGATATCCAGTTCTTTGGGGTCAGTAACTAGAAAACTATTGTGTTTCTTTGGTGTCATGTTTCCTTAGTTTTTCATGTTTCTCATGGGCTTGTGTTGATGTCTGTGGATTTGATAGAGCAGTCACCTCTTCCATAGTTTACAGATGCTTTTGGTGGGGAAAGGCCTTCACCAGCAGGTGGTGCAAGGACACTGGCTTATTGGGGCCTGATGTTTCCAGCTCCCAGGTAGGTCAAGTGGCATAGACACATTCAGCTCCATCAGCTGAAGTCAATGTTGCTAAAGATTGCAAGGGTCCTCCATGGTGTCTGAAGTGGTAGTGAGGACTGTTACAGTCTTCAGTGACAACGGCTGCTGGGGTACTTCCTTATCATAGCCAAGGGATCCCCCTTGGCAATGGGTCTGGCTTTGGAGGGACCTTTGGTGGTATTAGTGTGAGGCATGGACACACTTGGATCCGTCACGGAGCTAGGAGTGGATCATGTATGCTCCTTGAGTGGCTGAGTGTAGGGTCTAGGCTGCTGGCCAGTTTCCATGGCTCTGGTACCTGAGATGTGTGCACATGTGGAACAGCTGTGGAGCTGAGGTCTGAAGCACAGGTACATGTGGAGCAGCCAGGACTTTGGGGTCCAGGGTATGCACAGAGTTGGAGGTAGGGGCTGGCAGCGCTGTTCCAGGGGGCACAGCAATGTCTTCTGGGAATGACCCAGCAGCATCTCCTAGCGGCAGCAATAACTGTTGGTTACCTCAGTGTCAAAAGGTGCTAGCTTTCTCTGCAGAGCAGGCTGCTGTGGTCCATGCCAGCATACACTGCGGAGCCTTGTGCTGGGAAAGCTGCAGGAATTCTGTCCTGGGGGCTGTATGAGTGGCAAAGGCTGCCGGGCCCTCTGTAGAGCAGGTCACTGGGGACCTCAGTGGCACACACCTTGGCTTATATTGATAGCCTCCACCCTTCTTCTTGGTTCTTAGCCATTTTAAGATGTCTCAGCTAAGCCGTCTCCACAGTGATCCTTTCTCTGTGGTAATTCATTAATTGCTCCACTGTGTTGCTATAGGTTCTTAATTTGAGTCTTGTGCCCTCCCAGGGCTATTTTTGTTTTTTAATAGCAGCCTATTTACTGTTTGGTGGTGGTGGTTTTGTGTGTGTGTGGGCAGGGGGGTGGGCAGACCAAGACTGGTAGCTCCTAGTCCTCTATCTTGCTTGGGAGCTTTAAGTTGTCTAGTTTACTGTCATAAGGTTGTTCATAATAGTCCTAGTACCCTTTTATAAGGCCTTATATGGACACATGTGCTAATGTATCCTCTCACACTCCTGATGCTGATGATTTAGCTCTTTTCTCTTTTTCCCTCATCAGTCTGGCCTTAAGGCTTTCCCAGTTTTTTTTTTTTTAATATATTTTTTATTGATTAAGAAATTACATATGTGTCCTTGTCCCCACGTTCCCCTCTACCCCCCCCCCGCTCTTGCCCT